AAAACGTTCACTGAAAGATTTCTCTCAATAGCGAATGAGTATTGCTTTGCCTGCTAGTAATTCACAACTCCAACTTTGGAGGGTTGCAAATCATAATGAAAGCAGGCCATCATCGCCCGTGGGTCCATGATTTGATCTCTCAGTGCACTTCACTGCATGCTTTTCGATCCTAACCTTAATCTGTCCAAAGCAAAAGTTCTTCAGCATTGTATAATATATTCTGGTTCAAAAAGCAGCAAAGATACAATTAAGTACACATCTTAAAATGGACATGCTTATCTCATAATTGAAAAATAAATCCAAACATGCAGTGAGATCAGAGTTTCTTGTTCTTTCTCGTACAAATAAACCCCTTTCAACTACAATTTCTAAAAAGCCAGAGTAGTCTGATATCTATAATCTGCTTCTTGAACTGAAGCAAACGACGATAAATTAAACAATGAACTTTTATATGATCAAAAGGCCATTGCTCGTTAACAAGCTTTACATAAAGCCTAAAGGAAAAAGAAAAAAAATCCTAAGACGTGCTTTAAATTTTGATGTAGGTTCAAATAAATCTTTTCTATGTTGGGAATAATAACTCAAATTTTATAACAGATTTGTTTGAGATTTATTAAATATTACTTGATGGACAAAAAGACTTGTAGAAAATAATTCTAAAAGAAAAAGAGATTCTTAATAGGTAAGTTTAACTTGCAGAAGAATTCTAAGAGAAAATAGATTCTTAATAGGTAAGTTTGCATGCTCATAAATAGGTGAAGTCCTTATAGGGTTAGGTATGAGAAGAATATATAAGAGAGTTATATGGTTCTATGGGATAGACACCTATAGTACTATGGGGGATTTAACATCTTTATGGGTGTGTATGTTTGAGTGAACTAAAAGAGACTGAGAAAATTCGCATAGACACAGTGCATGGGAGTAGACTAGAGGAGATTAAGAGGGTTCATATAGGTATGATGAATGGGTATATATGGATTCCAAGAGGAAATGGATTTTTAATAGGTAAGTCTATATGCTCATAAATAGGTGAAGTCTTTATAGGGTTAGGTATGAGAAAAAGATATAAGAGAGTTATATGGTTCTATGGGATAGACACCTATAGTACTATGGGAGATTTAACATCTTTATGGGTGTGTATGTTTGAGTGAACTAAAAGAGATTGAGAAAGTTCGCATAGACATTGTGCATGAGAGTAGACTAGAAGAGATTGAGAGGGTTCACATAGGTATGATGAATGGGTATATATGGATTCCAAGAGGAAATGAATTTTTAATAGGCAAGTTTATATGCTCATAAATAAGTGAAGTTTTTATAGGGTTATGTATGAGAAGAGGATATAAGAGAGTTATATGGTTCTATGGTTCTATGAGATAGACACCTATAGTACTATGGGGGATTAACATCTTTATGGGTGTGCATGTTTGAGTGAACTAAAAGAGACTGAGAAAGTTCGCATAGACACAGTGTATGGGAATAGACTAGAGGAGATTGAGAGGGTTCACATAGGTATGATGAATGGGTATATATGGATTCCAAGAGGAAATGAATTTTTAATAGGTAAGTTTATATGCTCATAAATAAGTGAAATATTTATAGGGTTAGCTATGAGAAAAAGATATAAAAGAATTATAGGGTTTTATGGAATAGACACCCATAGTACTATTGGGGATTTAACATCTTTATTAGTGTGTATGTTTGAGTGGACTAGAGTAGACTGAGAATGTTTACATAGGTATGATGCATGGGAGTAGACTAGAGGAGATTGAGAGTATTTATATAGGTATAATGAATATGTATATATGGGTATGTATTTGTTTGTGTTGAAAGGGTGTACATGAGTATTTATTTATTTGGATTGAGAATACTTTATAGGATTAGAGGAGATTAAGAAGGCTTATGGGTATTGATTATTTAATAAGATTAATTTAATCTTCACATTGACTCAAATTTTATCAAATCATCTGTTTTTATACTAACCATGCAATAAAAATCTTACAATTATCTTCTTTTATGTGCATTCATGCTTCATATAAATAGATCATCAATCCTCAAAATATGAACTCAAATTCTTCTCTTGAATCAAGTTCCTTTAGGATTGCCTCTTCCTATGGCTCGAACTATACTTTGATACTACTTGTTAGGCTAAATGGCTCAAATCTAATCATACCAGCGAAAGCGAAATCAAATAATTAATCAATCACACACAAGACAACAATTGAACATGATTCAATCCAATTGATCTACGTCCATGAATGAGAAACAAGATCCACTAGTTATAAAGAATTACAAACATATATCAAATCAATCTCACTAAAAAATCAATACTTATAGGCTTTCTCAATCTTTTTTAGTCCTATAGATTATTTTCAACCTAAACAAACATATACTCATGTGTACCTTTTTAACACAAATAAACACATACTTATATATACTTATTCATCATACTTGCGTGGATCCTCTAATCTACTTTCATGCATCGTGTCTATGTAGACTCGTTCAGTCTCTTCTAGTCCATTCAAATATATACACCCATAAGGATATTAAATCCTCAATAGTCTTATGGGTGTCTATCCCATAAAACTCTACAACTCTTTTACATCTTTTGCTCATACCTAATCCTATAAAAACTTTAGCTATTTATAAGCATACAAACTTATCTATTAAGAATCAATTTTTCCTTATAATTCTTTTTTTACAAGTCAAATTTATCTATTAAAAATTTATTTTTCTCTTAAAATTCTTCTTATTAAGTTTTCTTATCCATCAAGTAATATTTAACAAATCTCAAATAAATCAATTAGAATTTGAGTCATTATTTTTAACATTTTAAACTATAATACGAAAAGGCAAAAAATGTAACATGATAAAACCACATTACATATAAGCTATTCTGAGCAGAAACAAAGATAAAATGAAAACCACCTAAGTTTAAATACTCAAAAGTCAAAATCAATGAATTGTTTCCAACAACTGTGCTTTAGATGAAGCCTCAAAGTGCCAAAAAAGAACCAGCCATAGACATATTTGAAACTGGCCAAGATGAAAATAATAATATTGAAAACTAAAGAGAATCATGAAGTGATTTTACAGCTTTGGATCATAAACTAGTTCATTTCTTTGGCTTCTTGTAATTTCACAACTAAAATCCCAATGCACCCAATACTTGCTATGAATCCAAAACGCCCCAATCAATAACAAGCATAGGGGCTATCAGCAGTCCAAGCAACATGAAAATAAGAAACGAAAAGGAAAAAAAGGGGGGGGGGGGTTTAGGGCGACCTATGCTTCTGGAAATATATGCCATTAATAGCTGATGGCAGCCCAATTGATGGGATATGCTTTAAACAAAACATCCTTCACCAGTGGAGGGCATGAAGAGAAAGCAAAAAACTACTCAGTATCTCTAGTTCATCTTGGCAAGATATTACCTTTTGCACCAGATAAAATTAAATATTTAGGATCAATGCAACTTGATCATGATTTGTCAAAAATCTTGGCAAAGCAAGAACGAATTGGAGTGAACAGCACACCAATAAAACCACATTTATATGCTAAGAAAAAAATAATGACAATTCAAGAGCGAAGCCATTATGTCAAAACAGAAATCACACAGCATGCTAAAATGACTTATTCAAACCTTGTTAAGCCTTTTGGCAAAACCCCCTGCCAACTTGTATGCCTCGGGCAACTTCCACCATCTCGTCATGGCTACAAAAAAAAAAAAAAAACCCTTCCCAGTGAACTCTTTATAAAAGATGGATAATCATCACAACAAATAAATAAATATATAAAAATGGATAGCGGCAAATCAACACCTCAATACAGTTATAACCTTCTTTACTGAAAACAAGCTCAGCACTTGATTAACATGGCTTAGTTTCTCATTCGAGTGGGTCACCCTTCCTCATTCAATAGGTCCGGTTAATTTACATGAGACTAAATACCCAGTTTAACATCTCTGATCATCTGCTGTTTCAAACTACAGACAATATACAACAATATACTTCAGATAAAACCAAATCGATAAAAATACTCCAAAAGACACATCTTAAAATATGCAAGTGATGTGTATTAAAAAAATAATAAACAAACATGGAATGAGATCATACATCTTGGACCATCTGCTGCTTCAATACTTCAGATAAAACCAAATGGACAAACATACAACTGAAGACACATAAAAATATAACCAAAGTGATGTGTATTAAAAAATAATTAAACAAGGAGTGAGATCATAGTTTCTACTTTCTACTTCTTCTTTGAACTACAATAGCAAAAGCGATAAGTACAATTTCACAAGACCATAGTAGTCTGGTGTCTGCAATCATCTAGCTCTTTGAACTGACGCAAATGACACAATGTAAACAATCAACTTTTCAGTAATCAAACATCATTGCTTATTAAAAAGCTTTAGACAAAGCCTAAAGGAAGAAAAGGGGGAAAAATTCAACAACATACTCTAGATCATAATGCGGGTGTAAATAAATCCCTTTAAACCATGATAGTAAAAACTGAAAAATACAACTTGATACAAACACATCATATGCTAATCTAAATAGAGACAAGGATGCAATGGAAACCACCAAAGTTAAAATACTCAAAACCAATGAACTTTTAAGTATTTAACAATTGATAGATGAAGCCTCGAGTGCAAAAAAGAACCCAATAGACATAGGTGAAACTGCCTAAGATGAAGTAAACAACAAAATAAAATCTACAGTAAAAAGGAAAAAAAAAATTAGCAAACTGAAATTGTAAACTTTATATTGTCTCGAATCATGATTGTTACATGTACCATGTCTTCAAAGAAAAAGGAAAAAAGAACACCCCCCCCCCCCCCCCAAGAAAATAAACAGAATTTATTTTTGTTGTTTCTGTGGTCTAAGCTATTCCTTGCCTATCCTAGTTGTGAGGCAACAATTACATTTGTTTTCTTTTTTTTTTTTCTTTTCAATGGGATAAGCAAATGAAATCAGTAACAGTTCAACACTTCCAAATCATCCAGAAGCATTAATTTCCTCAATAGCACATTTCAGAGCCTTTTCCCCAGCAACCAGTTGTAACCTCCTTGAAAAATCTTTTTTGGTCATCATTCCAGCCTGTGGCAACAATTGGAAATATAAAATTTGTTTATAGTTTAAAGGTAACTTTCATTATAAGCAGCAAGAAACATGTTCATCTAATAGACATGCAGCCTCCTTACCTTGTATGCGTTAAATGAAATCGATATTTCCTGGAGTTTGGCAGGTGGAAGAGAGCGATTAAGTTTTGAAAGCAATGCTCCCACAGCTATTAGTTGCCCTGGTTGACCTACAAGAAAACGTCTAAATTATTAACTTCCAAAATATATAAAAGAAAAAATGGATACCAAGAAGGGTAGAAAAGTTTACCTTGCATGTTACCAGAAGGACTGAAACTCACAACAAACTCAGGAAGAACACGCATGGTAGCGTTAGTTGACCATACCACATACCACTTTGGGTTCTTAGGATCATCAGAACCAGTGTCGAAATCAACACTAGATGGATGACACTGTTTAGATCCAGCTTCCACTTTCTCAACATTCCCCAATATAACCCGGCACAGAATAAGATGTTTTACACCATTATCATCAGAATCTGCCAGCCTTGCACTGCAACAATTAATTCGACATAAAACACAGATCAAAAGAACAGTATAAAAGTTAAATTTACCGAAAAAAGAAAAACTACGTATTAAAGAGTAATTAAACTTATGAAGGCGAATTGATCAAGACTAGGCTGTTTGTTCATCCTGTTGTAAATATGACATAAACATATGATACTAAATTACTACTAGACTGAGCTCCAGAACTGCACAAACCAAAAATTAGCATTGTAAGAACTTGACTTGAATTAATTCTAAAGCTAACTTGATCAAATCTCGAACTTACAGGTAACTGAGCCAATACAGCCTTATCCACTGTGGGAAAAACCCTTAGTATTATTGTGTGTTTTATGTTTTATATTTTATGTTTTTAAAAATTTTGTTTTCTTTTATTTTTAATTTATTGAATTTAAAAACATGTTTGGATAAAATGTCTTTATTTTAAAAAATGTGAAAACAAAACATGCAAGAGAAAGTGGTTAAAAATTTTAAGCTTCATTTGTTATTAATAATATTTATTAATATAATATTACTTATTTATTAATATATTATTATTTATTTATTATATATTATATTATTTATTACTATATTATATTAATATTATGTTATTAATCTAAAATATTATTTGTTAATATATTATTAATATAATATTTATTAATAAAAATATTATTTTATTAATATAATAATTGTAACTCACTATAGTGGTTAATTGTATTTTCTGTAAATAGTTTGTGTGTAATAGTGCCAAAATTTTTTAAAAAAGCTAAACCTATCAAATATGTTTTTGTTTTCAATTTATAAAAAAAAAGAGGAAAACAAAAATCGGAGACATTACCATAAGTAACAAACTGGACAATAAACAAAAGGAGTAAAGAATTACCTCAAGTGTGGCAGCCCAAACGGAGACAAATAAACGCCAATCCCATAAAGATCAGTCAAGGGAACCCTACTAAGGAATCCAAACCCATGAACCAAAATACTATCCACAACCTTGGCAGACACTCCATACCATGCAAAAACCATATTTGTAGTGCCTCTTGCAGCCCTAGTAATCTCAATCTGCTTCTGAAAAACCTCGAGCCGAGCCTTAGCAAAATGCCCTTCCCCCTTATACTGATGAATTGAAGTAAGCCTAACCCCAGCATCAACTTTCCTTATTCCGTTCAAGAAATGATCCTTAACAAGCAAATAATCTCTCATTACTTCACTCAACAGCTTCGTATTAGGCCATTTAGGAGCTCCTCCCTCCAAAAGAGGATGTTTAGGAGCTCCTCCCGCGGCTTTGTTAGTGCAACTCACTTCAGCCTCCTCCTCTCGCTTTCTCTTCGATGAACTTGGATCAATCTTAATTTCAATCTCAATCTTAGGATAGCGATTATTATTCTTAGTTTTGTAATTGCAGATAATATTATCATCCTTTTCGTTTTCATATTCGGATTCCATAAAGTCTTCTTCGCTGAAAACCTCTTTAGGAAAAAAGCACTCGTCATTTTCATCGGTCCAAGAAATTGACCTGCAATTTCCTGTCAGGTAATCAGTCTGAATCATTTTCTTGAAATCAAAAATATACTTTGCTCCGTCGACCGATGCTTCGGTAATTGGTTTCCGCTCCACGAAACAGGTTTTCAGTGTTTCTACAACATCGGCCGAGAAATTCATCCACGAACCATTGCGATAGTACATGAGCCGCGACGGAACCGTGCTTCGTCCGAAGTTCGCGTTGTTCTGATTGAAAACTCGTTTCAAGGTACTAGATTGGACGCCGCATCCGCCAACGATGCATTTTTCTTGATTTTTCGGTGAGGAGGAAGATGACGATAGAGGGGGAACCGTGATCCTAACGGACCCCTCCGGGCTCTTCGTCGATGCCGCCTTTGTTGCTCCTTGTTGAGCCATTTGACCTCCTTGGAACTATAAAAACAAAATGTCTTAAAAATTCTGAAAAAATAAACAGCAGAGGTTGTAGGAATAGTAGTAAAAGTAAAAAAAGAACCCACGCTATTTGAAGGCGCTGAAAACATTGCGTGTAGAATTTGGACTTGGTTTACAGATAAAATTACAAAATTAGGTCTCCTTTCCATGACAGTTAAGGCAAGTGGAAGGAATTGAATAAGGGTATTTTTTTGATAACGTAAAAAATTTGTGACGGTTATGGATTTCTGGACAGAGAAGAATGTCTTGCGGGCTACGTAGCTGTTTTTTTCATTTACTTAGTTGTGCCACGTCGGATTTTGCTCACTCGCCAATTTGTTCTTTCTTCGGCCCAAAGGAAATTTAATTAGAAAAAAAGGGTTAACCAAAAAATCTTCCTACTTTTGACTTTCCATTTGTAATCGGGCTGTTTCAAATCGCCGTCATTAGCCATCAAATAAAATTTTACTAAAGCACCCATTTTTTAAAAAATAGCAGAGTAATTTGACATATATTAATATTTTTATTATAAAATATAATTTTAATCGGTCATTAGATGCCAATTAACATTTTTTATTATAAAATTGATTTTACTAAATAGTGTTTTAATTAGAAATTTGAAAAGCAGTTAATATTATTTTTAAAATACAGTTAAAAAGTGCTTAATTATAGATACCAATTAAAAATATTTAAATAATTATTTGATAAATAATGTGTTGAAAATAAGCTATATAAGGATTATTGGATTACGGTTAGTAGGATTTATTGTTTATTATGTTAACTTGAAGCTACAATTTTATCTTTAAAAAAAAAAAAAAACATTTTAACAAGAAAAATGACTTTCAACACACAAAACGACTTTTACTTATAAAGCCAAGTTAGATAATGATCATTGGATTATGGTTATTAGGATATATTGTAATGTTAATTAGATTACGATTACTATGAAATATTATTTGCATGATAACCTTTGAGATTTAAAGTCATTATTTTGTGATTTAAGAAAATGCACCCCAACGGGAGAAATGCGAGATTTGTTTAAACAACCACAATCCTCACCCTTGGAAAATAAAAATAAAAAATTTAATATGACTTTGAAAATCATTGTTGATAATAATATTGTTGTTAAAAATAAAATAATATATATTTATCTCCTTTATATATAACTAGATGAATATCTGCGCATTATTATGAGCCAAAATTTTTTATTTTATTATTTTTATTAATCATTTTTTTGTAAATTATTTCAAATAAAAAAAATGAGAGGTAAAAAAAAAAAACAAATTAGGGTGACATGTGCATACTTCCATTAATTTCATTTGCTTATAGAATTTATCTAATAAAAAAACCAAACTCTTAAGAAAAAAAAATGAAAAGGGGAAAAATGAAAAAAAAAAAAAATGAATTTGAAAATCATTTTTGATAATAATATTGTTACTAAAAAATAAGATAATATATATTTCTCTCTTTTATATATAACTAGATGAATATCCACGCATTATTGCAGGTCAAAATTTTTTTATTTTGTTATTATTATTAATTATTTTTTTTTGTAAAATTTATCAAATTAAAAAAAAAAAAGAAAGATAAAAAAAAAAACTAGGGTGACATGTGGATAATTCCATTAACTTAATTTTCTCAAAATTTATCTATTAAAAAAACCAAACTCTCAAGAAAATTTTAAAAAAAAAAGTGAAAAGGGGAAGAACGAAAAAAAAAACTCATAAAAAGGTGTTGTGTGGACAATTCTAATGAATTTAAATTATTAATTTCTTATTATAAAATAATTTACTAAAAAGCGTCTTAATTAAAAATTTAAAAGTAGTTAATATTAATTTTAAAATCCTGTTAACAAGTGCTTATAAATACCAATGGAAAATAGTTAAATTACTATTTCATAAATAATGTGTTATAAATAAGTTACATAAAAATTTTTTAGATTACGCTTATTAGGATATATTATTTGTTATGATAACTTGAAGGTTTACCCACGATTTTATCTTTTGAAAAATAAGGCATTTCAAAAAGAAAAACGATTTTTATTTATAAAGTCACCATTCAATTATTGACTATTAAATGTGAGATTTTTTTTAAATACTAGCTTAGTTAATAGTGTAAATTTTGTATTTTTTTAGCATGTTATGACTTTCTATAGATAGTGTCATTATTGATAGAATGGATCGACATTATTAATTTAAGAATTGTTGAATTGTATCCATTATGAAATATTATTTGCGTCTTGAAATTTACACTTACTATTTTTTTCATTTAAGAAAATGCCCCTTAATAGAAGAAATGTGACATTTGCTTAAAAAACCGCAATATACACCCTTGAAAAATTAAAACGTAAAAATTTTAATATGATTTTGAAAATCATTGTTGATAATAATATTGTTGTTTAAAAATAAGATAATATATATTTCTCTCTTTTATATACAACGATATGAATATTTGCACATTATTGCACGTCAATTTTTTTTTTATGTTATTATTTCTATTAATCATTTTTTTATAAATTTTACCAACTAAAAAAATAAAAGGTAAAAAAAATATTGAGTTGACATATAGACACTTTCATTGATTTCATTTTCTCATATAATTTATCTAATAAAAAAAACCAAAATCTTAAAAAAAATTTAAAAAAATAAAAAGGGAAAAATGAAAAAAAAACTCATAAAAAGTACTACATGAATAATTCTAATGAGTTTAATATATTAATTTCTTATTATAAAATAATTTTACTAAAAAATATCTTAATTAGAAATTTAAAAGTAATTAATGTTATTTTTAGAATATCGTTAACAAGTACTTATAAGTACCAATTAAAATAGTTAAATTACTATTTATAAAATAATATGTTACAAATAAGTTAGGTAAAGATTTTTGAAATACACTTATCAGGAAATTGTTTTAGATATATTTAAAATAAAAAGATGATATATCATTACTAATTTATTTTTTATTATGTCATGAAATTTTACCTCAACGAAACGTTTTATAGGACTAACCTTTCTAAAAAAGTATAGGCAAAAAGTAAACAGGTTTGACCCAAAGGCCCAATGTTCAAAAAAGGAACGGAGAAGACCAAAATTTGAGGCCCAAAGTAATTGAAATTTTCTCGTGTCAGTGAATTGTAGCACAAAGGTAAATGCAAAAGTGAGAAAGGAAAAAAGGATAGCGCGTGTGATCCGAAAGGAAAGACGCCCGTTTCATTGATTCTCAGTGTCTCACCCTCCCTATTGTTTTTTTATGTAACAGAAAGCAAGGAAGAAAACGACCAGACAAAGAGGGAGCAAACCCAAGCCGAAAGAAAAAATGCCAATAATTTCCATTACTTCAGCTACCAAAATCACCTTTCTTCCCAACTCCATCCCCTCTGTACCTTCATTTAAAACAAAATCTAATGGTGGGTTAGTGGTAGAATGTTCATCGAGGCCACAGAAGAAGGCAACGAAGCATCACATGAAGACAAGGCCACGCAAGACGCAGCCATGGGACATAAGGAGGAAACCCACCGTTTACGCTCCTTTGCCTCCACTCCCTCCTGATTGGACCCTGGTTTCGAGCGGTGATTCTGATGATGGTGACGATGTTGTCGCTGGTGTTAATGAGGTTGGTCTCACTGGCTCTGCTCTACAGGCACCTGTTTCAAGTGGGTAGTTTCTTGTTTATCATTATGTCGGTTGTGTCGTATTTGTTTGAGGTTTTTTGTTTGGTTCTCTGGGTTTTTGTGCTTACTTATTGGCTTAATGTTTAAATGACATGAAATTGAAATTGAAACTGAAACTGAATGCACCCAGATAAATATGTAAGTTTTTAACCTCTCTTAAATTTCGAGGTGGATTTGTCTATGTTTATTTTAGTTCCAGTTTCTGTAAGAAATTACAATTCTTTTATAGATCGGATTTTATCGCTGAAAATAAAAATTCAGCACGCCTTCATTCTGCACTCTATTATCGGTAGATGTTGGTCGATTGCACCAAATGCTCTCCTGTTACCATGTTACCTGTAACAGCAAAAGGGTAATTACAGAGTAAGAACAAAAAATGGAGCACCACAAGTTGATTTCCATAGATCTGTTTACATCATAAACTATTTAGTAGGGACAATCCTACCAGCCTGATGTAATTACAGAATTTGGAGGTTGGGATCTTTTGTGCTTTGAAATGCACCCTCCTCCAGCCCCTAGCAGGAATTACATGGTGCTCTATGCAAGGTAACGAAACAAGCACTGAGACATCATCAACTTGCAGATGATTGTTGAGACCATCTGATGGTTTGGAGTTTGGAACAGTATGCCATCTTTTAACATCCTGATTCCTGAAGGTTTTAGAGAGTTACTAGTATTATCTTTTCTTGCATCGACTCTGCACTAGGCTCAAGAGAATGTCTGTTAATGTATGTTCATTCCCTGGCATTTTCCCATGTCCTGCAATATTTCACAAACAATTGCTGAGCAAATCAGTATAAAAATGAAGTTTATTAAACAATTACACAAACCTTGAAAATTGATGGATGATTTTTTTTTTAATTTTTAGACTTAATAAATATTTTATTTTAAAAATAATTATGTGAATGAATTAAATTAAACTTTAAATTCAAGAGCTATCATCATATAAAAATCATAAAGGACCACTTAATTGTGTTATTCCCTATTACGGAAATATAACCCATTCTAAGTAGTTTTGCCTTGTTAATTTTTGTTTAAATAAATTTTATTACTCCAGAGAAATTATATATATTTTGTTTGACTGATCTTTGGGGAATTGAGGTACTTTAAATTATCGCAGCAAAGTTGCCACGAATTGGGAGGGACTTTGATGTTTTTGTCTTGCAATCCTTTGTTCTTTAATCTTAGGAAGGTTCAATGAAGAATGCTGTTGTCTGTTGTTCTCTTGCGTTGCCACAATTTATGGTGGTGCCAACTTTTTCATGATGCTGCTGAGAATCATTTGAAGGTATTTTCTATTTTGGTTGTATTCTAACATTTAAAACTTTCAATTTGAAAGGTTTCTCTCAATAGCGGATGGGTATTGCTTTGCTTGCTAGTAATTCACAACTCCAACTTTGGACTTTGGATTGGTGCATATCATAATGAAAGCAGGCCATCATGCCCGTGGGTCCATGATTTGATATCTCAGTGCACTTCACTGCATGCTTTTAGATCCTAACCTTAATCTGTCCAGAGCAAAAGTTCTTTAACATCATATTCATAAGATAAGTTTTGTAAATATACGAAAAATAGAACTTCATTAGGGTAGACACCCCAATATGTCCGGGTCTATTATATTTGAATTTTGTAATAAAAAATAAAAAATAAATAAAAAATAAATAAAAAAGAGAAAATAGGTAGTTGAGTTTGAATTTGGGTTAAATTTGAGATTTCTGTCTGGATTAGGATTCTTTGGATTAAGACCTTATAAATATAGACCCTAATTGAGGAATTATGGACATATAGAAAATAGAGACATACAGAAGCACAGATATTAGAAAAAGCATGCGAAAGTAATCAAAAATTTGTTTGGAGATTTTTGGGTTTTAAAAAAAAGATTTTTGCCTAAAAATTTTCTAAAAATTTTTATATTTCGATGGGATTTTTTTGACGAGTTTGAATTTTTCAGTGAGATTCTAGTAAGATTTCTAGATTCCGGTTTGTTCCTCAGTTTTTGGCGATAGATTTTCAAAAATCAGTAAACTTCTGGTCAACTTTCGATAAACTAACCCAGATTTCGACATAATTTCCATAATCTGACGAAAGATTTAACTAGAGTTCTTGAATCCTAGAGAGAAATAGAGGGGAAAAAGAAAGAAGAGAGAAAGTGAAAAAAAGAGGTTTGACGAAAAAACCAAAACTTGGGGCTTTTATATCTTCAGGAAACGGTGTTGTTTTGGAGCATAACAAACTGCAGGATCTGCATGTTTTCTAGCAGGCGACTCGACCCACACGTCAATCCGTTTTTTCAACCCACGTACCATCCGAGCCTTCCAACCGAGTCGAGCCATATACCGAGCCTCCAAGCCATCTTCTGAGCCTGAAGTCGAGTTGCACTGAAGCCGTTGAAGCTAAGTCGATCTTATTTTGCTATTTTTTTATTTTACTTTATTTATTTACTTTTAAAGTTATTTTTTGCGTGATTAAAATTTAGAAAAAATATAAAAAATATAAAACAAAATAAAGTATTTTTTTGAAAATAAATATTAATTATCCAATGATGGAATTTATAGAAATTTCAAATGGTAAAATTTTATAAAATTCATAAGTGAGAAATTTCTCTAAATTTATCTTAAATGGTAGAATAATTTAGATAAAGTTTCAATAATAATAATTAGTATTTATTTTCAAACAAAAAAAGAAAATAATAAAAATAAAAAATAAAAATTTCGAAATTAAATACAAATTACTCAATGATGAGATTCTTAGAAATTTCAAATGATAAATTTTTTAAGAAATTTCTAAGTGAGAAATTTCTCTAAATTTGTTCTAAATGGTGAAATAATTTAAAAGGAATCTCAATAAAAGTAATTGTAATATTTTCCAAATAAAAATTTTGATTAAAAATATTTGACAGTTATCCAATGATGAGACTTTTAGAAATTTCAAATGATAAATTTTTTTAAGAAATCTTTAGGTGAGAAATTTCTTTAAATTTATCACAAATGATGGAAAATTTTAAATAAAATTTTAAGAAAAATAATTGTCATATTATTTTCTTTCCAAAAAAAATAAAATTAATTTCTAAATAAGCCCAAATGGTGGAGAATTTAGAAATTCAAAAAAAAAAAAAGAAAAAAAGAAAAGATATTTCTAATATGGCCAAAATGGTAAAATAATTGGATATATTTTCGACAAAAATAAAAAATAAAAATCTTCTGACGATGAAACTTTTTTAAGAAAACAAATGAGATTCTTGAATACTTTTGAGATGAGAAAATATTTTTAAGAATTTTGTCAGATTGATGGAGAATCTTAAGAATTATTTCTAATATTCAACATTAGAGATTAAAACCATTAGAATCGAGACCTTAGGATAAATTTAAAATAAAATGGTACCATCCTTTGGATGGGCATGCGGAGGTGCTATAACTTTTTCAACATGTAATTGAACTCTCGAACCTTATTCTGATTAGTAGACCCAAACCTATTCTTTTATGGACCCTCAGTCAAGTTTAGGAGCTTCTTAAGAGGATAGTTTCTTAAGGTGGTTAATCATACCTAGTTAAAAAAAGATTGGTGGTGACTCTTTTTGTTAAGTCTGGCTATAGATTTATAGATCTATATGTTATGACAGTTTGGTGACTTTATCGAGGATGCTATAGAGAGTCAGGCCATAACATTTTAAATACATCCTATCATTTGATCTAATGGTTTTACATTGTAATTATTTGTTTACTAACGTTTTTCTTTTATTGTTTCTTGTTTGATTTATGGGGTTGACAATTATATGTTCCTTCACACACATTGTCACATGCATTTGCATGATATGAGCTCTATACCCGAGCTCTGTCCCTCTTAGGAGAGAGTAAAGTACTTACGTTCTTGTGAGATGATAATTTTCGTAATGGCTAGCGAAATACTTTCACTCAAAATTGAATTCTTTTCGTTGGTAGCTTGTGATGAGTGAGGATTAGATTGCCTTACTAGTCTATGATGGACAATGATATAAGAAACAATTTAGGAACCTTTAGTGATCAAAGTCACTTAACCCTGCATATAATTTACACTTAAGAAGTTAGCCTTAAGATAGAGCTCTTTCTACCCATTGATAGATGTATCCTGAAATTAGGACACAAGAAGGAATAACTTGTAATTGTTTATCTAACTATTTTGTTTGTTTGATTTTATGCACCTGCATCATTTTCATATCATTTAATTCTATGCATCATTTTTATGCTCATGTTTTAACATTATCATTTGCATCATTCTCACATATGGAATATTTACCATATATCAATTATTGATAAATCATATCTCACACTTACATCCATGAAAAGCCAAATGCAATCAAAGTCTACATCAATTCGTTGTGAATCTCCTCATCAATTAAAAATTAAGTAAAAAAAAAGTAAAAAAAAAAAGAAAATTGCTTGCTTGAGGATTTTGTTTCATTATTGCTATAGAGAGTTAATCTCGATCTCTAACAAAATGACCTGACTGACTTAAATAATGTTTGGGGATACATGAGTAGAGTAAGTCAAAAGGCATTTGATAACAAATATAGAGACATAGCTTCACTGCTCCAAATGGATGCAAATAATAATCTTATTAGAGCCATCATTCAGTTTAGGATTTTTTTTATAGGTGTTTCGTCTTCAATAAGTAGACATGATGCCTACAATTGAAGAGTATATGGTCTTATTTCATTTTGATTTGTCAAACTTAGACAAGATTTATTAGTCAAATAAGGTGGGTTATCATAAAAGGTTGGTGCAAATGCTAGGAATTAGCTTGCCTCAAGTTGATGCATGTGTCAAGATAAAATGTGAAAGTAAGGCTATCCCATTAAATTTTCTATGAAACTTCACTAGGGGTATTTGGATGATGATCAGGGGATGGTGGTAATGGCCATAGCTCTATATAGATTAGTAATCTTTTCAAAAGTCATTGGACATGTTGATGTCACAGTGATAGACTTTGTTGAGCAGTTAGCATACAAAGTTAATGTAGCATCAACTATTTTAGTAGAAACCATTCATTCATTGAATTTCTGTCATAGAAATGGTAAAGGTCGATTTAATGGGTACTTACAGTTGCTTTATGTATGGATGAAGAGTCACATTGAGTGTGAGGAAAGCTAGTTTCATAAACTATACCTTCATTTAAGTGTTTCAATCAAGGAGTTTTGTTACAGTACATGACCTAAAGCAAAGTCAAAAGAAGAATGGATTTTTTATTTTTATGTGTTGGATAGCCAAAAGATAATTTAAAGAGCACCTTCGATACGTTATGACACTGTGTTATATAGTTGTGGGAATCAACCTTGGGTGTTCTTATTGGTTGGGGTGCTGTTACTTATGCCCCAACTTTGGTAATAAGATAATCCGGATGTGAGCAATTCATTCTTGAAACCTATGAACTTAATCAGTGAAAATTTTTTTTCACTGAAAAATGGGCATATGGAATGGTCAAAATGATAGAAAAGGCATGGAAACAAACCATCAAGGTTAACCAGGGGAGGCTTACTTATGATGTCACCTCGAAATATATTGTGTGGCATAAAAGGAGGGGGCAAGGATATTATGCTTCCTAAAGAATAAATAATGGACCATTCCCCAAAGTTAATTTTTCAAGATCTTTTACTCAAAGTGGAAACGGCCAAAAGAAAACTCCAAAATGAAAACATGAGAATATGCGATTAAAGTTAAAAATGGAAGAGAGTTTAAGGCTTTAAGAATAGAAAATTCAGAGCCTCACAAAGCAAAAAGATTAATAAAAAGCTCTATTCAATGATCTAGACATGACACATTTGTTAGTCATACCCGAGCTTACTCGATTCTTAAAAAAAATGAACTATTAAAAGCAAGGGTGGAAGATGTACAAAAAGCTACTGCTAGGGCACACTGACATAGCTAGATGTTACAAAGAATAATGGATCAGTACATAGCACACGTAAAAGCCTTGTTTAATGAATGCAAAAGACAAGCTAAACAGAGTGAGTTATAGAAAGACATGTACATAAAAAAATAAAAACATCTAAGGCATTTGTTCGATTAGCTATGCATTGTTGCAAACAAAGCATCAGAAATGAAAGAAGAAGTGAAAGATTTAAAGGCTATTATGCAACCAGTGGGAGCTCATGGGTGGCAATTGCTTGACTTTCTAGATGAGGCATAAAATCATTATTAGCAAGCTATAAAATTTATAAGAAAGCATTAGGATAATGTTAGGAAATAAAAGATGATGTTTAAGACTTTAAAATACTGCTTTGGCTTTGTTAG